AAGCCTGAAGGAGCGTCTCCTGAAGAGCATCGTCCTGTGTCGGAAAGAGCTGGACACTCTCTGCAGGGAGCTCCAGCTGGGCCCCTTTGAGGTGAGGCGTGGGATCCTGGGCTCCTTTTGACAGCCGTGCTGCTGCCTGGCCTCTGCCTGCCTGTCTCAAGAGGCCACAGCTTAGAAGTCAAATATCTATTCAAAACTGCTTTTCCGGGTGCTTGATGGAGCCGAGGGCTTTGTGGCTCCTTACAGGCCAGGCATTGGTAGGTGTTTGTGTGGTGTTCTCCAGCACCTTGTTTTGTGTGTTGCTGGTGTTTGTTCATGCACGTTCCTGGGGAACACCTTGCTCAGACCCAGGCCTGGTGGCCCCTGTCTTTGTATAAAAACCTAAAGCACGAGCCAGGTGCGGGAACAGAGCTGATTTCTGGCCTCTTGCAGACAGAGGAGGAAAGTACCATCCTGCAGATGGAGAAAAACCTGCGCACGTGCGTGGAGGTGCTACAGAAGCAGAAGCGGGACCGGAAGCAGGAGCTGAAGGCTCTGCAGGAACAGGACCGAGCCCTGTGTGACATCCTGTGCACACCTCTGTTTGACATCGACACCAGCAGTGTGCCCAGCCTGGAGGACCTGGACCGCTACCGGCGCCATGTGGCCTCTCTCAACACCCTGAAGGTGAGCCTGGAGGGTGAGGGGATTACTGAGGTGCCCACAAGGGCCCCCTGGTTCCTGACACTGCCCTCACCCCCAGGAGCAAAGGCAGGAGGAATTTGTCAGCAACAAACGTCAGATCATTCTGCTCATGGAGGAGCTGGACCACACCCCAGACACCAGCTTCGAGCGGGACGTGGTGTGTGAGGATGAAAAGGTGTTCTGCCTGTCCAAGGACAACATCATGGCCCTCCAGAAACTGTTGCAGCAGGTATGTTGTGCTCTGAGGCAGTGCTGCGGGCTGCTGTGTGTGCTGGCAGCAGCAACCACCATGACATAAGAGCAACCGCGAGGTTTTGGCAGGGCTGTGCGTTAGAACACCCTTCTCAGGGAGGCTGAGGAGATCTCATGTGCCAAGTGTGGCTTTGCAGGTGCAGCAGAGCCCAAGGCTGTGCTGATCCCCTGCTCCCTGTCCCTGCAGCTGGAAGCCCAGCGGGCCCTGAACGAGGCTGTGTGCACGGAGCTGCGCGCCAGGATCGTCGCGCTCTGGGAAAGGCTGCAGATCCCAGAGGAGGAGAGAGAGTCCTCGGCCGTGCACCTGTCTTGGTCCAGAGTCAAGACTAGGAGAGCTGTAAGAGCCCTGCTGTGCTCATGGTGGGAGTGCTGGGGATCCAGGGGATCTCGTGCTCCTGGTTGCTCAGTGAGGGGTGAGGGGAGCAGGCCAAATTCTGCCTTAATGGGGAGAGGAGCTGGAGGTTGGCACTGGCAGCTGCCTCATTCTAGAGAGTGGCTCATGCAGAAGATGAACCCTGTTCTCTTCCTCCCTGACCTGTGCTCTTGTCCTGGGGCAGTTGCAGCAGGAAGTGGATCGTCTGGAGGAGCTGAAGCTGCAGAACATGAAATCTGTGATCCAAGCAATCCGGACAGAGCTAGCTGACTACTGGGATAAATGCTTCTACAGCCAGGAGCAGAGGGAAAACTTCAGCCCCTTCTATGATGGTGGGTGCTGGCTGGCCAGGCAGTCTTGGAGAGGGATCCCAGGGATTCCAGCCCCTGACCTGGCTGTTGTGCCTTTCCAGAGGATTACACAGAGACCCTGCTCGAGCTGCATGATGCTGAGGTGGGCAAGATGAAGATCTACTACGAAACACACAAAGATCTGTTTGAGGCTGTTCAGAAATGGGAGGAGAATTGGAAGCTGTTCCTGGAGCTGGAGGTATTGTCAGCTGGAGGCAGCAGCATGTTGGGTCATGGGTCAGCGTGTACCTCTGCTCCCATGGGAGAGTGCTCTGGGAAGGAGCAGGGAGGCACTGGGAAGTCATGATGGGCCACGGGGGTGTTTGTGCAGGGCTGGCTCCTCTGGGGCCTTCACCATGTGAGGTTGAGGGGATTGGGTGGTGTGTTTATGTCTCTCCTGACAACCCTTCTCCACCAGAGTAAAGCAGCTGACCCCAGTCGCTTCACCAATCGTGGAGGAAACCTTCTGAAGGAGGAGAAGCAGCGAGCAAAGCTGCAGAAGACACTGTCTAAGGTAGGTCCAGCCCTGGGGAAGGACCTGTGGTCCCACTGACAGAGGAAAAGGGATCCTTGGGTGTGGGGACACCTGCGTTCAGGGCAGCCCCTACACTGCCCTCATGTCCTGATCAGCTGCAGGAGGAGCTGGAGAAAAAGGTCCAGGCTTGGGAGCAGGAGTTCAAGGGAGCTTTCCTGGTGAAGGGCCAGCAGTTCATGGAGTATGTGTCAGAGCAGTGGCAGCTCTACCGTCTGGAGAAGGAGAAGGAGAAGCAGGAGCGGGTGAGTACAGAGCTGAGCATGTTGGCTTCTGCCTGGGAGTGTCCGTGGCTCCTGCCTAAGAATGCCAGCCTAGGGCTGTCCCTGCTGGGCTCTGCCTGCTCATTCCCAGCTTGGAAGCAGCAGGCAGTGGGGCTGGTGCCCATTGCTGTCACATCCACATGTGCCAAGCCCCTTTCTGGTCCCAGCTGTGCCAGAGGTGACGCTTGGCTCGATCCCTGTGCATCTCTGAGGAAGTTCCTGCTGTGTGGCTGTGCCAGGCTGTCAGCAGGGCGGTGCCCCCTGGCAGTGTCACACAGATGCAGCAGCTCTGTGGTGCTCAGGTGTGTAAGTGCAGGTGTCTCCCACAGCACCTGAAGAAGAGCCGGGAGATGGAGGCAGAGATGCTGTACGGCAGCGCCCCACGCACACCCATTAAACGGCGCATGCTCAGCCCCCACGCACCTGCCAAAGTAAGCAAGGTAAAATGTTCCTGCAGAGCAGTGTGCTGGGCTGGGGTCCTGCCTGCAGCTGAGCACAGCCTTGGGCTGGCCCCGGTCCCGGGGGCAGGTGTGGGGAGGGGTCAGGCTGCTGCAGCCCCGTGGGAAGATGTCCAGTGTGATGTGTGTTCTGCTTTCCCCTCAGCTCTACGGCACCTTCAGTGCCAGCACCACACCCAACACCACTGTTCGCACGGCCTTTGGGGGACCCATCTCCCACTCGCCCACATCTCGGCTGCCACCCTCTGGGAAGAAGGTGAGGGGCCTTGGGAGAGTCCCTACCCGGGGCTGGGCTGGAAGGGACAGGTGAACTGAGGTGCTGCAGCTCTTCTTGGTCACCCCATGGCTCGCTGCCTCCCCTGCTGAGCTCGTGAGGAACAGAACCCCCTGTTTGTCTGCAGTCCACTCTGTGGGGCTACTGCCATCCTGCTGGGGTGTTTGTGGGACCTGAGGGAGGAGGAGGAGGGTGCCAGAAAATCTTTCTCCAGCCCGTATTTCTAGTACACCTGTTCCTTAGTGCTGAACGTGCAGCTTGGGGGACGTTCAAAATGTGTGTGTGCTGCCAGACAGGGCCTGAGCATCCCTGTCTGGTGAGTGGCATCCCTGACTATGGGCAGGGGGCTGGAATGAGATGGGCTTTAAAGTCGCCTCCCACCCACATCATTGCAGGGTTCTGTGATTCTGTGCTGTTTCAGGGGCCAGAATTGGACCCCAGAGGCTGGAGAGCTCCTGGAGCCTGACACTGCTCTGGCACCGAAGCTCCGCTAGCTCTGCTGCCTCTGCTCAATTCCTACATCCCATAACTGCCCGCTCTTCCCACAGTTTGGCCAGAGCCGGACCTCGACCCGCACGGCAGCGCAGCCCCCCCGACCCCGGCTGAGGGAGCGGAACAAGGAGAACATGTCCCCCCTGAGCGGTGGGTGCACCCCCACAGCCCCTGCCCAGCGTAACCACAGCGTTAGTTCTGTTGCCAGCACCTATTCTGAGTTTGCGGTAATTCACCTCTTCTAACCCCACCCCCCCCTCGCTGCACAGCACCTTTGCTCCCTCCTGTGTCCCCCCAGTGTCCCCACACAGCCACCTGTGTCCTCTGACAGGGTGGCTGCTCCTGCCCCTGCCTGTGACTCCCCATGGAGAACTGCAGAGTTGGTGGCAGAGGGGAGCAGCACTGGGGACAGAGCAGCAGCCCAGAGGCCAGGCTGTGGTTGGGACACACCTGTGCAGGGACAGAGCCAAGGCAGAGCCCTGAGGGAGGAGTGAGCAGAGGCTGGAGGGGGGCTGCTTTCCTCTCTCAGGGTGGGCACCTTGGACAGCCTCTGTCCTCCCATCAGGCTGGGCTGAGCCAGAGATTTACCACTGTGTAACACTACCAAAAGTTTTTTATTCTGTATATACTTTAGTAAAGAAAGGCATTAATGTTCATTGGCTACAAGTTACATAGTAATTCCCCTATTAATTTGTATTCCATCTCCTTTTAGCAGCCTGGCCTGTCTCTCTCTGTCTCCACTTATCTATGAGGCAGCAGCCCCCTCCCTTCCCTCATCCCTCTCTCTCTCTCTCCTTGTTTCCACAGCGCGGACTTTCAAAGGCTTCCAGCTTTGACAGTGCCTCTGATGTTCTCAACTCCACCACCAACAATGCCGCATGATCAATCCCTGCTCCGGCAGTGATGCAGCATCTCCCGCTCCAGGATAACCCTCCCCTCGGTTACTGCCTTAGAAATGTGCTTTTATTTAAAAAAAAATTTCTAGGTGTTGTGAATAAAGTCCTTGTACAGCCCCCACCTCTGAGTGTGTGTGTGTGTGGGTTTCTGGAACAGGAATGCATTTTCACACAAATCACAACCACAGCCCTGTGCAGTCCCTCACCCCAGGGTCGCTTCATTGGAGCCAGATATGCTGGAACATGTCCTGCACACACCAACACTGCAGCCCTTATGGAAAGGTGATTTTAATAAATACATCCAGCCTGTCCCAGGGTGTCCCTGGCCCTGATGCAGCTGTAGCCCCACTCCAGGGTGAATCAGGTCACTGTGGGCTAGCCTGAGCCCCATCCTGTGCTGTGGGGGGCTGCCTGTCCTGGCCCTCAGGACAGTGGTCGAGCAGAGCAGAGCCGAGCCTGCCCTCATCCCCATCCGGCAGCACCCACGGGCTGTGGGTCTTGGGGTGCTCACGGCTCCCGCACACGTACATAGGTGGTCCAGGGCCCACACACCACGTCCTCCACCTGCAACCCCTCGGCCACCAGGTGCTCCACGCGGCGTGCCTGGTCAGAGCTGACGTTGTTCCCGTGTCCCAGCTGTCCATATTTACCTGCAGACACACATTCATGACATAACGTGGCCCTGGGGCCTCACAGGGCAATTGCTCCTGGTGTTTGTGGGGAGGGACAGAACACAAGAGCCCCCAGCACAGATGGAACTTGTACAGCAACAGAAGAGCCAAGGGCACGAGAACAGGAATCAGAAGCTGCTCCTGGGGAGGTTGTACAGTCCCAAAGCAGAGGTGGCACTTACCCCAGCCCCAGGTGTAGAGCTCCCCGCCTCCTGCAACAGAGACAGCACCAGGTGGGCTCTGTCCCCTGCAGCCCTCTGCCTGCTCAGGGGGACACTGCCCACCAGGTGCTGGTCAGCTCTGGCCCCTCTCAGTGCCCTTGTCCGCAGAGGCACTGCCCCCTGCCCAGCTGGACACTCACGTGTGACCACGGCCGTGTGTCGGGACCCGCAGCTGACCACGCTGACCTCCAGGTCCTGTGGCAGATCCAGCAGTGCTGGGAACGCCTGGATGGAGATGAATGCAGTGCCCTCAGCAGCCAGCTGCTCCTGGCAGGGTGTCAGCTTGGTGCTCCCTGCAGAAGAGCCAACTCTCAGCTCCCAGGAGTGACTGGGTAACACCAGCATTGCCCGCAGGCTCAGACCACGCTGGCCCTGCACTGAGCTGCTGGGGCTGTGCAGGAACCCGGCCCAGCCTGCCCTCAGCCTGGCCAGCAGCAGTACTCACCCGTGCTCGAGTCCTCAGCCTGTGCTCGCTCCTGTGCCAGGGCTTTGGAGGGCAGAGCCAGCTGCCCCGACTCGTTCCAGCCCCACACGTACAGATCTCCTGCCTCTGTGGGGTGGGGGGAAACACATCAGGCAGAGCTCAGCCCTGAGCCCCACTCGCTGGTAGCACTGCTGCTCCAGGGACACCAACACCCCATATTCCCCAAGCCAACTGCCACCAGGGCCCTGTGCTGCCACCCCAGCACCTCACCCTCCCAGCCCAGCCCAGTCCAGCCCAGCCCAGTTCAGCCCAGCCCAGCCCAGCCCGGCCCAGTCCAGCCCAGCCCCTCACCGCTCACGCTGGCCGAATGCCACCCGCCCGCCGCCACCGCCCGCATGGGCACCCCGGCCAGCGCCTCCACCAGCCGCGGCTGCAGCTCCGACTCCAGCAGCCCGTGGCCCAGCTGCCCGTGCCTGCAGGGACACAGAGGGACAGACAGACAGACAGACAGACAGACACACCCACAGCCCACTGCCTGCAGCTCCCGTGCCTCCTGCCCACGGTCCCCACCAAGCCCTTCCTGCTGTTGCCAGCCCAGCTCCAGGCTGGCAGAGCCTGAGCAGAGGAGAGAACAACCAGAGCTGAGCAGAGGAATCAACACCTGTCAGGAACAGGGAAAAGCCAAGTGCCAGGGGGAGAGCGATGCCCAGCACCAGAGCACCGGTCACAGCCAGGGGTGGGTGGGCAACAGTGGGACACGGCACCAGGGGCTCCAGGTGTCAAGGATGGGGCAGAAGCAGGAGGAGCTGGCAGGAGCTGCAGGGCGAGAGGAGCAGCTCGGCTGCAGAGTGGAGCCTGTTCGGTCTGGGGAGCTTCAGGGTGACAGCTCAGGATGCCAAGAGCTGATGCCTGGAATATTCACATTCCACATGGAAATCGGCAGAGGGCTGAGGGACAGGAAAGGGGCTCTGTGCACTCCCTCACCACAGGGCAATGGGGATCACAGCCAGCGGTGAGAGAGGGGCTACAAGGGGGCGAGCTGGGCCAGCACCTGGCTACCACACAGCACAGCTGGCACAGGCATGCCAGAGAGCTGTGCTGAATAACCACATTCCAAAAAAGTTCCTTCGCTTTCAATAAGAAATAACAAGCTAAAAATAGTCGTTTCAAACACTTTGCCATTTTTAAACAAGCCAAACTAAGTGATGCCTTTTTCCATCAAAATGCACAAACACTCGAGCGAATGTTTCACATCTCCAAAAGTCAAACAAAAACCATAATTAGCACTTACCCTGTCAACTTGTACAACCTCCTGCTTCTACAAAAACTATCAACCCACAAAAGTTACAAAACCTACAACTGTAACATCCATTTCGTTTAATAACCTAAAACAAAAACTTTGCTTGTGTTTCCACAGGTACAAAACCTAAATTAATTCCAACAAAAAAACGCACAGAAGCACACTAACAATTCCACAAACAAAAAAAAAACAACATACAAACGTAAGCTGTGCAAAAACCTACAGTTCATGCCCAACATTCCCTACCCAACCTACAAAAACTACAATCCTTACATTTTATGCCAATGTTAAAACTATAAAAATTGTTAATATAGTAAAACTCTTTGAACAAAAGCGTGGTGTCTCTCGTGCTAAAAAGCATCCCAAAATATCCAAATTTGCAAAATTAAGTGTAAACAAAACAAGCCCTTAAAAATTTTAAAAATTTTTGGAAAAAAAAAAAAACACAAAAACCAGAAGTACCAAAAATTTTGCTCAAAAATTAAGCAAAAAATGAAAATGCCTTTTGCCAAAAGTAACAAAAACATAAAGCCAAATCAAACTTTATACTTGTTAGTTTTGCTTACTTGCTTTTACAGTACAAATATGCCTCTAAATCAACCAAAAACTAATATTTAAGTAGCTTTAGCCAAGTCAGCAAACTCCAACACCATATATTTAACTAATTCAAGCCCAAACAAACCCTTTGCAACCTGTTTACTAGTGCCAATACCTAACCATAGCAGTTATTAATATGAAGCTGCCAACAAAACAAATCCCATAACCAATTAGCATCATTAAGCCCCTAATCTTCTTGAAGCACCTTTTGAACCTCAATAAATAAAAATTCTTAGTTCTTTAACAATAAAATTTTGTACTAAGTTTCAATTACAATTAAATGTTACTCCCCATCATCCTGTGTAAAAAAAATCAAATTTTTTAGTAGTTATACCACTCTTATACCCCTAAAAGTAAAACTGATAATCTTAATAAATTCCCACAATTACAAAAAAATTAATTCATTTATAAAAATAAAACCTAGCAAAGCATTCCCTCAAAAATTAAAAATAACCCATATAACATCAAACAACTCACTATAACACCTAGTGCTAAAAAAAAAATTAAAATTTTAAAAATCTGCCCATCATTATAAAAAAAAATATAATAACAATTTTAAACCCTGAAGCCCTACAAAACAAGTTACATCAAATTTATTTTTACCTCAACTTACTTCAGCTGTAACATTAAAACAATTAAATCAATTAAAATGTTAATTAAGCTACTACTTCCATCGTAATTAGCAATATAATAACAAATATTAGTACCATTAAACATACCTTATAAAACAAAACCACTATCAATTTTCTCTAACACCTAAACACAGTCATAAAAAATTTTTAAAAGTGTACTCTGTAAATTTGTCTAACCATTCAAAATCCATCCACAGCTTCAAGAACTAAAAAATTTAACAAATCAAATTAGAACAAACTATAAATCCTAATTAAACAACCTGTTTAAAAAATAAAACTTTGCACCTTTACTAAAAAGCTTTGCAAAGTAAGTTTACATATATTGTTAAAGTAACGACATTAATAATTGTACCTTGTCTTCTTCAGTGTGTACAGCAAACAATAAATAAGACCATCAAAAAATGTTTACAGATGTGAGAAATGGATTTGTAAAGGATTCTCAAAGCCTGACTGAAAGCTCTTGTACATTTGTATATAAACTGTGAGATAAGGTGTGCTGACTCAGAAAGGCCCGGGAATAGAGAAGACATTGCTGAGAGAAAGACTGAACTAGAAACAAGTTTCACACAATGGCCTTGCAAAAAAACCAGATATTTTTGAGAATTAGAACTGTGAAAGATGCACTGTGGCAAGACCACGTGGGGTAGAATAACAGGTGATTAGTGTTAGAAGTATTGGCACCATTGTGTAGCAAAAGCTAATAAGCTAAAAAAACATTTATAAGGTATTGTAACCAATAAATAAGTTGACTCTGACAGAATTGCACAGAGTTTTGTATCTCTTATGTTTCACCCTTCGGTGAGACTGACAATGGAATAAAATCTTTTAAAAACACCTCTCAGTTACCCCATCTCTGCAAAGCTGAGATTTTCCAACACTCAACTACACATCCCCACGTGTAGAAAGGTTTCCTCTGAAGGGAAGGCAAGAAAAGCCCAATAATGCCGTGTGTGCAAAGCACCAGGTGCTGGTGTGAACTGAGGGCTGCGTTTGCCATGAGCTGCTTGCTCCAGGAGCAGGGGCTGGCGAGCGAAACCCTCCTGAGCCACGAGCAGCACGGAGGGCACCGGGCCAGGGCTCGCAGCTCTGCGACACTGGCGGATGCTCAGGGCGGGGTTCGCGCTCCATGAACAGCAAAGAGGAGCACGGCAACCCGGCCACTCTGCACACGAGAACAAGCAGCTCCTGGGGCCGAGCCTCACCGGGCACCAGCAGAGCTCAGGGATCCAGGGCAGGGGAACCTGTGCCTGGGCTTTCCTTCTGGGAAAACCCGACTGGGGCAGCAAATACACACACAACTCCCTAATGAACAACAAAAGCCTTTGTGAGAGTAAACTGGGCCGTGCCACCAGCTCCTAAATGCACGCAGGTTGAGCTGCTGGCAGGTGACACAGAGTGCTGGGGCTGGAGACATTTCCCAAGGGTTGCCTCCCCTCCCACAGGCTGTACCAGAGGGACCTGGCACTGAACCATCACAGATTGATGGAATCCATCTCCAGAAACACAGGAGCTTTGCTGCCAAAGTGTGCGCCACACTTGTGTGGCAAGTTACAGAGGAGCAAGGACAGAGCAGGGACCTTGATGGTCATACAGACACCCAAGTGCCCTCGGAGACTGCCCCGAGGGAGCCAAAAGTCAGAGCAGAAACCAGAATCAGTAGCCAGAGACCCAGCACCTCGAGAGGACACAGGGCTGTCCATAGGGCCAGCGAGGGTGGACTCAGTGGGAAAAGGGGCATGGCCAGGCCAATGCTCCCCAAGAGAAGCCACGAGCTGGGATGCCTGTGCTGGGGGAACCTGGCTCAGGTGAGGGACAGATCCCACCAGCATGTGGGTGAGCACTGGGGTGCAGCTGGTATCCCAAAACTTCTCTTAGCTGTAACCTCGTATCATTCCCAAGTCCACTCCCATGGGAAAGTCAGGAGGCCTATCCTGGCCCCAGGCGGTGTGCACAGGCTAATGTGGGCTCAGCCCCTGAGGTGACCTCAATTCCGACATCCTCTCACCAGCACTCCCCCCAAAGCCTCCCCATATCCCCCACATGGCCTCTCATGCCCCTTCTGCACCCCCACCATTCTCTCTGCATCCCACCAGCACAGTGTTTGTCCTGCAGTTCCTGGACGCGCACCCGCTGCCGTCCCTGTCCCGCACCCCCGTGTCCCCACAGCCCCTGCTCACCTGCCGCCGCCCCAGGTGAACACCTCCCCGGCGGTGCTCAGCGCCACGGCGTGCTCCGTGCCCAGCACCAGCCGCTGGGCCCGCACTCGGGCGGGCAGCGCGGTGAAGAACGGCGGCCGCGGCGTGGCGAAGCCGCCGGGCAGGAGCGGCAGCGGCTGGCGGGGCTCGGCGGGCAGGTCCCGGCTCCAGGCGGGCTCGTCCCGCAGCGCTCCGCTCAGCGCCGCCTCCCGCCGCCAGGCTCGGGCCCCGGCCGGGCCCCGCAGCACCAGGTGCGTCTCGGACGGCAGCGCCTCGGCCCAGCCCGGCAGCCGCCGCCGCTGCCCCGCGCTCCGCAGCTCCAGCCCCGCGCCTGCCGCGGCGGCACCTCAGCGACCGACAGCCCGGGGAACGGGACGGGGACAGCGCGGGGGGCTGGGGGACGGGACGGGAACGTCACCGGGGGACCGACAGCCCGGGGGACGGGACGGGAACGTCACCGGGGGACCAGCGGGGAGCACCCTGGGGGAGCGGCGCGGTGGGAGAGCAGGGGGGTCCCTCCCGGGGGAAGGGGCGGGCAGGGCGAACCGAGGCGACCGGCGCGGCGGCGCACGGTGGGAACGGGAGCCGCCATCCCGGGGAGCGGGCACAGGATTCCCCCGCGGGACGGGCTGGGACCGGGGCTTGGGCGGGCCGGGGGCGCTCACCGGTCTCCACGACCACGTAGCTCCAGGCGGGCCACACGCGGGAGATCCCCTCGGGGCCCGCCTCCAGCCGCCACGGGCCCGGGCCCGGGCCCGGCTCCCCGGCCGCCTCTTCGGGGCTGAACCCGAACACGAGCCACGCGCAGGCGGGCGCCGCCATGGCTGGGGAGGGACCGGACGTGACGGCGGAGGGGCGGACGGACAGACGGACGGACAGACGGACGGAGGCCGGGCCGTGTCCAAGAGTAGCTTTAGTGTTACCGGGGGGGCCTAGCTCCGCCGCGCCGGGCCCGCCCCGGCTCGGCCCTCCCGGCTAAGGCAGATGGTGGCAAAGGCAGCGGCAAGCCCTGTCTTCCCCCTCGCCCCGGGGCAGCGGGTGGGAGCCGCCGGGGGCGGCGTGGCCCCGGCCCCGGGCAGTGCTGAGCCAGCTCTGCGTGCAGCCAGACCCCGCAGGGCCGCCCTGAGAGCAGCGAGTGAGCACCGGCCTCGGCAGCGTGTGCAGTCTGTGTGCGAGCCCCGTGCGGCCTCAGGCGTGCTCAGGGTTGGGCTTGATGAGGCCGTAAGCCACTGCGTGTGCCAGGCTCTCCTGGGCCGCCTGGGCGACCCGCGGCTTCTCCTTGTCCTTGGCAAGCACGGAGAGAATCTCCAACATCTCGCTGGCGATGAGCTGCTCGGCCACCTCCCGAGCAGCTGCCATCATGTTCATCACCACCACGGCGCCACGGTGCTGCAGCTCCACGCTGGGGCTCAGCAGCAGGGCCTGCAGGATCTCCAGCCAGTGCACTGTCTGCAGGGGAATGGGGCCAACATCATCACGGACCCCAAGGGAAGGGTCCCAGCTCCCTCCCTACAGTCCCATCTGAGAGTCAGGCCCAAGTCAAGACAGATTGCCCTGTCTTCTGGGGTCAGAGCTCCAGGCCACTGTGGGAAGGGAATATGGGACACAGGGTGCTGGTCCCAGGGTCCTGAGTGCACCCTGGGCACTCACCACCTGGGGAATCCGCTTGCAGATGGGGGGATGCAGGGCAGTCAGCATGGCCAGGGTCCCCGAGGCTGCCCGCCGCAGTTTCTCATCCTCCTCCCCACTGTACAGGACCATCAGCTTCAGCCGGTCACTGCCCTCAGCCAGGAACATCTCCTGCACCTGCACAGGGGAAAGAGGAGGGATTGGATGGACGTGTGGTGGTCTGGCAGCCCAGCACAGACCCCAGCCCATCCCGGCCTTCACCTCCTTGCTCATGGCCATGTTGCACATGCACTCAGTTGCAGCTAGCCGGATCAGCTCGTGCTCCTCAAACATGTACCCCTCAATCATGGGCACAGCCCGCTCTTTCAGGATCTTCTGCCTGGGAGGCAAATGGGCAGTGAGCACTCCCTGCCCAGGGCAGCCTGCCAGGCCCAAGGGGACAGCCAGCCCCTCTCTTCCCCAGTCCCTACCGCAGCCTCTCACTGATGCCAGCCAGGTTGGTCAAGGCCATCAGCCCCTCAAAGTTCTCCAGGCCTGTACGCTGCAGGTGCAGGAGGCTGACCAGGGGCCGCACCACCTCATAGATCTGTGAAGACAGAACACGTGGTGGGACTGAGTCAATGCCCACTGCTGCTTCCCCATGAGCCCCTGCCTGGCAGGCCCAATCCCCAGCCCCAGCACTCACCCGCTCCCCAGGGAATGCCATCTCCGGGTTGGAAGTGATGGTGATCTTTGCTAGGGCCTGGGCTGCCTTGGTCTGCCCCACCTCCGTGCCCTCCAGGGACAGTGGGATCAGAGCCTGGGGGCAAAAAGAGCAGCTTGTTCTGCAGCCAAGGCCACAGCACCCAGGGCTTCCACAGCTTCCCCCAGCCTCATGTCGAAGGGAGCCAGTGCAGCCCCTCTAAACCACAGAGCCCAAGCTCTCCCAAGCCCCAGCACCACCCAGAGCAGTGCAGGGCAGAAGCACAGCGAGGTCCATGCTCTCTCTCACCTTGCCTCCTCCCTGAGCAACCACACCACCCCGGTCTTCTGCCTCCTCCACCAGCGCCAGGAACACTCTAGGGACCAAGTGGGAAAGGTTGCAGCACTTGGATAGTCACAGTGGGCCCAGGCTGCACCAGACTCCTGGACGGCCCCCCTACTGTCCAGGAGCTGGCCTTCACTACAGGCACAGAAGTTCACCAGCAGGATGCTGGCAGACTGGGAACCCAGCTCCCTCCTGTCCCTGGCACACCACACCTGGAGATCAGCTCCCGACAAGAGCTGGTGAGCGCCGGGTTCTCGCTCTTCACCATGCAGGCCAGAGCTGACACCACGCCAGCCGTCAGCAGCTTCCGCACCCGCCGCTTCACAAACTCGGGCTTGTCCTGTCCCACAGGCAGGGTCACACTTGGCTCAGGAGCACCAGCTGTCTGGTGAGGTGCCCAATCCCACCCCGGGGGTCTCAAGGACACCCTGTCCACACCGGGGACCCCAGGCTGTGTCCCACCCACCCACTCTCCACCCAAGCACAGCCATGCCCTGCTCACCTTGGGGTGCTGCTCTGGGATGTGCTGCTTGGCATACTTGGCCAGCTCCAGCATCTGCGGGTCTGGCTCCTCATGGTCATAGCTGTTGGTGCAGTTCACCAGCGTGGAGGCAACAGCATAGAGCACACTCCTGTCCTCTGACTGTGGCGACAGTGGGCATCTGTCATACTCATAGCAGGAGGAGCAGCCAGGACTGGAGCACACCCAGCTTCTCCCACACATCCCACCCCAGAGCATGAGCCTCTCCACACCCACTCCAGCACATTCCCCTGGTCCCAGGGTGCCCACCCCACAACTCTTGGTATGCACCTTGGCCAGCTGGAACATGGCCTGCATCGCTGCCTTGTCCTCCACAAACTCCTCCTTGACATCTGCATCGAAAGTGAGGTAGGCCAGGCCCTCTACAGCCCAGCGCCGCGTGCCCGCATCGATCGCCTCATTGCAGAGCCACCTGGGAGAGTGGGACAGCCACCTGAGCCTGGCTGTGGACAGCCCAGCTGCAGGGAGCCCAGCTGTGGGGCACCTTGCCCACCCCCCAACACCTGGCCCCACTCACTTGCGACACTGCTTGGCCAGCTTCATGGTGGATCCCTCGGCAAACTGCTTCATGCTGAAGTCCGTGCCACCAGCAGATCCCAGCTTGCAGAGCCCCTGCAGCCAGGAACAGAGTGTGGGAGCAGGAATGGATGTAGGCAGCCTGATGTGTCTCCTGGATCCCCAGCAGGGGAGAGCAATGCTGTGCCTGGTGGTCCTGCACCCACAGCCCACGCCAGGGCTCAGCCCCGCCACCCTGTCCCGCCCTGCTCACCACGAGCGCACGGATGCGGATGCTGTCCCTCTCGCTGTGCTTGTAGATCTCCTTGAGCAGGTTGACGCCGTTGGCCGTGATGAAGGAGGCGCGCTTGGCCTTGTCGGCCGCGTGGATCAGCGCCTCCACTGCTACCAGCTGGTGGGCCTCACACACAGAGGCACAGAGGGACAGCACACTGTCCATGATCCCCTCCAGCTCTAGCACCCTGTTCCCTGCATCTGAGGGACCCTGCAGCAGGCACGACACCGTCTGAATGGCCCGCAGCTTTCCTGGCAGCTCGTGCCCCTCGAACCAGCTCCTTCAGGGAAAGATCACCAGAAAGGGTCAGGATGATCCACCTGCCTCTTCCTGCCCTACCTGCTGAACCTCCCCCACAGCAGGTCCCCAGTGGGTCTGCAGTCAGCTTTAGCACTGAGGTGCTGCCAGGCTGCAGTGACAAAACTGCCACCAGCCCCAGGACACCCTGGCTCACCTCACATAGTCCTCGCACAGATGGTGGAAGTTTTCCCTCTCGGCATCACATTTCAGGTCCTCATACAGTTTGCTCAGCAGAACAGAGGTGCTCATCCGGGTGTTCTCTGTCACGGGCAGGCTGCCCAAGCTGCCACACACTGTACTGCCCACCTCCAGGATCTTCTTCAGGCCTGGGAAACGTCAGACAACCCAGTGAGGGGCACAGTGGCATGTGCACACCTGGGGCAGAGGAGCACGATGCCCCAGCAGGACATTGCTAGCCATTCCACTCACCTTGGTCAATCACCCAGAGGCTCAGACTGTTGTTGGTCTCCTTTGGGGACTTCCTGGGCACCACCTTGATGAGCAGGTTGAGGGCGTTGTCACGGCCGTGTGCTGAGGCCCCTTCCAGCACTAGCAGCTCCAGGAGGTGCTTGATCAGCAGTTTCAGGTCCCTGGAGGAATCTTCCAAACAAGACAGTGCCCAGCAGTCATCACCCTGGGCATGGCCTCACCCCCACTGTGGTACAGAGATGCTGCCATGACCAAGGGCTTCTGTGTCCTGTTAACCCTGGATCAGGACCCAGTTTTATAGCTTTGCTTTGCAGTGATAGGGCGGCAGCAAAAAACCCCCATGGCATCTGGGGCTCTCCCCATACAACAACCAGCCAGGGCAGCCCACACTCACCCAGCACCAATGCATCCTCTTTCCCACGGAAGTCTTTCTGCAGCCCCTCCTTCAGGGAATCAAACATCACGTGCAGCAGGTTGCAGGCAGCCAGGGACACCTGCTCATGCTCCACGCCCAGCACTGCTGCAAGACGGGGTGCCCCCAGTTCTGCCAAGATGGCCGTGGTCTGCAGGTACAAGCACACCTGTGTCTTCCAGAGGCCTTGGGGAAGCCTTGGCGTTTCCCAGCCCCTTATCAGGATGGTTTCCTCTCACAAGTTCAGGCCTGGCAGGTAACAGCTCACAGCTCCCCTGTCTGACACTCTGCAGCCTCCCCAGCATGGCATTCCCCTGGGCCCAGCCGTGGGCTATGGTGGCACCTACACGAGAGCGGTGGCCGGAGCACAGCCCCACCAGCGTGCGCAGGGCTGCCAGCATCAGGTCAGCCTTGGCCGTGTCCAGCAGCTGCATCAGAAGCCGCACACCATCACTCTGGAAGATCTTCTCTGCTCCAGCCTCTTCTCGTGCCAGCACGATCAAGTTCTGCGCAGCCTGGGGAAGGAGAGTTCCGTCTGGGTCACAGCTGCACACTGCGCACAAGGAACTGCTGGCAGCTGCAGGCACCCACCCTCCACTCCTGTCCTGGGGAGTGTTCTGCGTGGGGCAAGCCCAGCCTGCCCAGGCAGCACCAGCTGGCCCAGGAGCAACAATCTTCCCCTCCCCTCCTCCCA